CGGCAGTTCATGAAGGGTTGGGGTGCCAACCTGGGGCGTGACCTCCGCGAGCGCAAGCAGGCCCTCCTAACTGCCATCCAGGCATTAGACCTGCATGCCGACGCGACCGGCCTCTCTCCTGGCGAGTGGCTGTCCCGGTACGACTTGGAAGACCAACTCTCCGTCATCTACTCCGATGAGGAGGCTTATTGGCGCCTTCATGGCGCACAGAAATGGGTGTTGAAGGGCGATGTGAACACGGCATACTTTCAGGCCATTGCGAATGGCCGTCGTAGACGCAACACCATCCCCCTCCTCTGGGATGGTCCGACTCTCCTTCAGTCCTCCCGTGACATCCAGGCCCATGTTGATGGGTTTTATAGGGCCCTGTTCTCCGCTGCTCCTAGGAGCGGCCTCTCTTTGGCTCCAGATTGCTGGACCGGCCCCCAGCTGGTCTCTGTCGCTGAGAACGTGGCCCTCACGGCCCCCTTCTCCGAGAGCGAGGTTTGGGCCGCCATTAAAGGCATGAACCCTACCTCAGCGCCGGGACCTGATGGCCTTCCGGTCAAATTCTTCCGGACCTTCTGGAATGTGATTAAACCTGAGATCATGGCCATCTTCGACGAGTTCTACGTTGGGTCCATCGACCTCGAACGCCTCAACTATGGGATCATCTCGCTCATCCCCAAGGTCCCTGGGGCTTCCGACATTCGCCAGTTCCGCCCGATCACGGTCATCAACGTGATTTTTCGGATTCTGGCGAAAGGGTTCGCCAATAGGGTGACCCTGCTAGCGGACCGCATTACTCACCCCAACCAGCCCGCCTTTATCCAAGGCCGGTATATCCTGGATGGGGTGCTAGTTCTTCACGAAGTCCTTTATGAGGTTCGCTCCAAGCACCTTAAGGCGGTGTTCCTGAAGATCGATTTTCATAAAGCCTATGTCACGGTTAGTTGGCCCTTCCTTTGGGAAGTTCTGCTCCGAAAAGGTTTTGACGACCGTTGGGTCTCTAGAGTGATGCTGATGGTTTCCTGCAGTCGCACTACTGTGAACATCAATGGTGAGATCAGCCCTTACTTCCCCACCTCCTGTGGAGTTAGGCAAGGCGACCCCTTCTCCCCATTCTTGTTCAATCTCGTGGTGGATGCGCTTGCCGCCATTCTGGATAAGGCTAAGGCCGCGGGCCATATTCGTGGGATCACCCCCCACCTGGCCGGCGGATCTGGGATCTCCCTCCTCCAGTATGCCGACGACACCATCATCATGGTCGAAGGCTCTGATGCGAACATCTCTAACCTTAAGTTCCTCCTCCTCTGCCTCCAACAAATGGCTGGCCTCAAGATCAACTTCGACAAGAGTGATGTGATGGTGATGGGCTTCTCTCCCGCTGAATCCCTGCTCATTGCCAACCGGCTCAACTGCCGCCTGGGCTCCTTCCCCACGACCTACCTGGGAATGCCCATTAGTGACACTCGGCTCACAGTCACTGACCTTCGTCCGACTGTTGCCAAGTTACAAACGCGCATCGAGCCTTGGAAGGGTAGGTGGCTGTCTAAGGCGGCTCGGACGATCCTCATCAACTCCCTCTCCAGCCTCCTCTTATTCCTCATGAGCTTCTACAGCCTGCACGAGACACTCCACCATGAAATAGCCAAGGTCCAGTCCCGCTTCTACTGGGCTGGCGACAATAATAAACAGAAGTACCATATGGTCAGCTGGCCTGACATTTGCAAACCACGGGAACAAGGTGCCTCGGTACCATGTTGCTCTAAACGCATGAATGTTGCTCTCCTATCCCGCTGGCTTTGGCACATCTCGCAAGGGCACGGTGGCCTCTGGTTAGACATCATCCGGAACAAGTACCTGCATGGTCAACCCCTTGCCTTCTGCCAGCGCTCTAGCGGCTCTCAATTCTGGCAGTCGGTTGTCCAACTACTCCCAGTCCTCCGCATCAGGACCTCCATCTCGGTTGGATCTGGGGCTGCTACGCTGTTCTGGTGGGCCGGCGACTCCCCCTTCGCGGCTCGCTTCCCCGACCTCTTCTCCATCGCTGTTGAACCCATGATCTCCATTGAGAGGGCCCTTATTGACTTAGGGCGCCTCGCGTTCCGTAGGCCATTTGGGCCTCCGGATACCGCCGCCTGGCAGGAATTGCTTGATTGTGTTGCTCTCCATGAGCCGATGGTGGACGTTGGCCCGGATCAAGTGAGATGGCGCCTTGATCCTTCGGGCCAATTCTCCACCAAGTCCTTATACCAAGTCATCGCCCCCTCCTCCGCTCCCCCCCCCCTTACGGCGGTGTGGTCCATTCGCCTTCCATTGAAGATTCAGATCTTCATGTGGCAGTGGATTCGCGGTCGGACCCCGTCTGGGGTCGAGGTCCTCAAACGCAATAGCCCGGGCCCTGGCTTATGCCCTCTTTGTGGGGTCCCCGAAGACTCGAATCACATCTTCTTCTCCTATGTGCCAGCTCAATTTGTCTGGAGCTGCTTTAGGGAGGTGGTGGGTGGGAATTGGTGCCATACCAACTTCCCCGACCTATTCACTGAACTCCAAAACTCCCCCTTGTCCTCGCGCCACATTAGGTGGCTTGAGATTGGGGCGATCGCTTGGATCCTCTGGACGATTCGCAACAAGCTTGTGATTCAGCGCACTCCTCTTCGACGGGCTACTGACGCTCTTTTCAAACTGTCTGGTTACTTGCAGCTTTGGCGGCCGCTTAGCCGCCCTCAGGATCGGGACGCCATCTCCGCCTTCATCGCCGACCTTCGCTCGATGGCCGTCCGTCTCTCGCCGCCGCCACCCCCGGAGCCTGACTAGTCGTCTCCTGCGCTCCGGCGCGCGCGTTTTTTCCTTTCTTTTGGGCTTGTTGAGCTGTGCCCTCAGCAGAACCTTTTGTACTTCCTGTTGTGTGACTTGGGTGTGTGTGTGAACTAGTCCATGTTTGTGCGCTCTTTGACGGTTTGCTTTATTTATAAAGCGGGGCGAAAGCCTTTTTCGGTAGAGAGAGAGAGAGGCAGGGACGGGGGGTCAAAATAGGAAGACCGGACAGATTCAAACTCACCTTCTCCTCCCGCTTGGCGTCGGCGCCACGTGAGCCAGAGTGGAGGTCGACATAGATGACGAGCTCGCGCATGGCATAGTCGGTGGCTTCGAATTGAAGAGGCCATTCATCTTGGGGGGTAGTCCGTCACCGCGGGAACGAGGGCAAGGTCGCAACAGCAGGCCTCATCTGTGGCGCCGACCCGAAGGCGAACCAGTCGCGGAACAACATCACGACCACCATGCTAGCCGTGCCCGTGCACCGCCCCTCCTAGGGCGGTTGCCTCCTCCGAGGATGGAATAAATCCGAGGGGACCCTCCTGCCAATGGCCATGAATGGGGAGAACCAGATCGCGGGAAGAAGAGGCTCCCCATCGACCATCTCCGCCGCCGACACCCCCGCTCCTGCCACGGGGCCGAGACGTGCGCCGTCCGCACCGGATCCCCTCCACCCGATGTCCTTGTGGCGACTGAGGCGCAACGATGGGCCGCCGACACCTCCCGCTCCTGCTACAGGGCCGAGACGTGCGCCGTCCGCACTGGATCCCCTCCACCCGATGTCCTTGTGGCGATTGAGGCACAACGACGGGCCCGTGCTCTTTCTCAAGAGGAAGGGATGACGAGCAAGGCTGGAGCTCGGCTAGGAGAGAGGAACAGGGAGGAGAAGGGGCGGAGGCGACGAGAGGAAGGATATGGGGTTTGCTTCATGAGGAAGGGATGATGAGAGAGACAGAAGAGGAGGGATATGGGGTTTGCTTCTTGAGGAAGGGATGATGAACAAAAACGTGTCCAGGTAACACCTCCCTCAGCGAGCGCCCTTTCCTTCTCCTTTTATTTTTCCCCCATCGACACCTCCTGCCCAACCCACGCGCTCGCTCGAGCCCTGCCAACGTGGACACCACGAGCAATCACTCCTTCCGTGTACGTTAATGTGTTTGATTTCTCCAACATGAACGTATTACCCAAGTGGTACTTCTTTCCCGTTTCAAATACTCCGTGCGTTCTCTTAATGGTTTTCTGTGCCAACAGTACCTTTTCTAGAGAACTCAAGGCAAGTCGTCCAGATTCGCCCCCCACCCCCACGTGCTCGACCACCACCCTGCCGATCCCGGCGCCGCCCACCACCCAGCACTGCTAGATAGGCCATTCCCCGCCGGAAAAGAGAAAAGGTTTCGCCGCGGCAGCCTTTCCACCACCATCTGGGCGAGTTTTCCGGCGCTCCGCCGCGCAGGGCGGTATACCGGCGGCTGTGCGCCCACCACGCCCGCCAGGTGTTTGGCGATTTGTCTGCCCGGCAATGGACTCGGACGACGAGGAGGCGCTCGCCGCGCTGCCGGAGGAGGAAGCCGATGCCGACGTCCAAGGAGAGGAACATCTCATGATCCTCGCCGGCCTGCTCGCGAGCAAAGAAAAGCCGCGGCGAGGTGGCTCGGCGCCGGGGCGGCTGAAAGCAAAGAACTGGCATCGTCTGGAAGGCTATTGCATGCTCTACTCCGACTACTTCGCCGACGCTCCACTGCATAGCGACAAAGTACTTTGGCGTCGTTACCGGATGAGCCGAAAGCTTTTCCTCAGGATTGTTAATTCCATCCGGGAGTTCGACAGCTACTTCAAGTGCAAGAAGGATTGCACCGGCAAACTTGGATTCACCTCAATCCAGAAGTGCACAACAGCTATGAGGATGCTTGCATACGGAGCTCCCGGTGATTCACTCGACGACTATGGGCGCATGGCCGAGTCCACGACTATTGAGTGTTTCTACAAGTTCTGCAAGACGGTGGTGGCAGTGTTTGGACCACAATACTTGCGATCACCCAATGCCAAAGACACTGCTCGGATCCTAGCACAGAATGCAGCAAGAGGATTTCCTGAGATGCTTGGAAGCATCGACTGCATGCATTGGAAATGGAAGAATTGTCCATTTGCTTGGCAGGGGATGTACAAAGGCGCTAAAGGCGGTTGCAGTGTGGTACTTGAGGCAGTGGCACACAGGACCTCTGGATTTGGCACTCCTTTGGTATGCCAGGAACTCACAATGACATCAATATGCTGCAGTGCTCCCCTGTCTTTGCCAAGCTTGTTGAAGGTCATTCTCCGCCAGTGAACTTCGAGGACAACGGGCGGCACTACAACAAGGGGTACTACCTAGCTGATGGCATCTATCCAAGATGGTCTACATTTGTGAAGACTATCTCAAACGCTGTGCCAGAAAGAAGTCCCACTTTGCGAAGGTTCAGGAGGCTTGCAGGAAGGATGTTGAGCGAGCATTTGGTGTGCTCCAATCTCGATTTGCTGTTGTCCGATGCCCTACTCAGACCTGGTCGAAAGATCAAATGTGGGAGATCATGACTTGCTGTGTCATCTTGCACAACATGATCATTGAGAGCGAGCAGGAAGAGACATTGTTTGACACTGAACCATATTACAGGCAGGGTCCTCTTGCGCAAGTTGATCACGAGCTACCGGCAACCTGTACTGCCTTCCTCAATATGCGTCAGGAGATCCGAAACCCACAGGTGCATCAACAACTGCAGCAGGATCTGGTGGAGCACCTATGGAGGCTCAAGGGCAACGCCTAGCTCGACGTGTGATGAAATATGAGTTTTTATTGTTGAACTTTATAATTTGTATTGAACTATTTGTTGTTGAATTATTTGTTGAACTATTTGATTTCTATTGATTTTCTGTGATGAACTATGTGATAAAAAAATTACTTCTGTTGTATTTGCGCCGAACCACGGCGAATATGGGCCGATTTGTGCCGATATCGGGCCGATTTTTCGCCGAAAATGGGCCGAAAAGCGAGCACATTTGGGCCGATATCGGCGCCTGGGGGCGGCGACTGGGAACCCAATCG